AACGAAATATAGAGTTTAGTGCCACATTTTATCAAACATCTGAATTCAACAGAATCATCAGGTTGTTTCAAAAGTATTTTTTTATGAATCCACTTTGTACTGTAATATCTCAATGAATAATCATTCAATTCAGTCGAAATAAGCGCCATTTGAATTAGTGCCCTGTTGTCAACATATAAGTTGATTAATTACGTCAGCATAAAAATTAATTTTATATCTTTATAAACGCTTATTGATAGATTAGTTACCTCACTTGATCATGCACGAGGTTTTACCTTTAATAAACAACAAACCGATCTATTCGCTGAATTAGAATGAATAATTGTTATTGTAATTATATATAGGTATTTTTTATGGCAAATGAAGAAAAAAATACAAACTGAATTCGTTGAAGTCGACGAAGGCCGTTTAAAACGGTTCCTGATTGGCGAAGGTTCTAATAGTGATAAAGTACTTGAATTTTTGGAAGCGTAGCAATATCGGACCTCTTTTGTTGACCAGTTCCGGCAGCAGCTGATGCAATTTTCGGTACTTTTCGTTAATTTCCTTACAATGAGACTTGGCTGTAATGATTTGGCTTCGTTTCAGAAAGTTATGGTGAATCACACCAACCGCTGACCACCATACAGTAACCATGGTTTTTTCCTGGCGGGTTTACAACTTTGTGAAGTGTCTAGGTGGCTCAGCGGTTTTCAATCACTGTCCTAAACGTCATAGAGAATCCACTTTCCATCACAAGTGACGATCCGATCCAAAATAGGATCGTTTTGGTTGCGCAAAAGCGAAGAAGAACATACTTTGGAACGTGGAAATTTCTGTCGATCATTCAAATCGTAAGCCAACCAGTTTTCAAGCTTTCGAGCTTCGAAAATCTACATGGGATCTGACGCCCTGTTCTTCCGCCATTCCACGCACCGTTTGTAATGGTTTGAAAAAACTTTATATTAACAAATATCATTACTGAGAAGTAGAACTGGAACTTCTGTTGTGTGCCTGTTTCGGGTAATATTCTCAATCCAATATCGAAATATTTTAGATCAAAGCGACCTAAACACTTGGGAAACTGGTTCGCTGAATTTGGTTTGGCGAACCAAGTTCTTGGTTAGTCACTCCCTACATATAGTCGAGGGGAATGTGAACAACGGTTCGCCAATAATTTCATTATTCGCTGAGAGCGCGGAGTCGAAAGAACTCGTTATGAAAAAAGTAATGAAAAGAGTGTTTAATTGGGTTGAATGAGCCAGGAGAAAGTTTATAGGTACAATTCTTCCATATATTCGGTAAACCAGGAAGAATCCAGATGAATGAATATTATTCGACGTGTCAGATTGAATTTTGTTAGTACCAACTGGCTGAATACTGGGTGACCACTTCTTCAATAGAATTATGTAATAGTACACAAATCGAAAATATATTGTAAAATTTTCAAATTTCAGGAGAAAGTGTCAAAAGTTAAAGCTAGCTAAAATTTTCACGGATAACATATAGAGAATGAGATCCATGATGAAGCACAATACGATAATATCAAAAATAAAAATCGTCTGAATGGAGGAATTAGATTTATTAACCGAGAAATCCTCGTGAAAGCCCACTTGGCTGTCACCAGTGTAACATCTACGGGTTTATGCTCNAGGGGGAGAGGCTTCCCCCCTCCCCCCATGGCGACGGCCCTGACCGAAAGACTAGAATTTGTGCAAAATACTCTTCCAAACTGTAGAATCACTCTGAGTTAGAATTACTGATTTTATGAACTTTTTAATTTCATTAATTGATGTAATGTTTTGGTAAATGATTATATATTTGTCTACTTCTATAGATTTGAGGCTGCCTGGTCAAAGATGATGTAGGCAGTGGGAGAGCAAGTTTTTTATCGCTACGCGTAGACCTTTTTCTATGGAATTCAAACTTATTTTTATGTTTGTGAAGTTAGCAGACAGTCTCTAGAATGAATATTTCAAATATTGCTAATATTTTATTTCTGCAAAAAAGTGGCCTACACTAGTCACGCATCTTCAATTTGAATATTATTCTCAAAGCTCTATTCTGGATAACGAATATACTCTGCATCAAAATCTGGGACATGGAAATTCCATACCGGAGATGACTCTCAATAAGTGAATAGTATGCATTTATTGCTGCTGAAAATCCTATATCACAAGATGTGATATTTATGACGAAGCAACCAGAAGATAATTCTTTCTCAAAGCAGTATTTTGCGTATTAAATTTTAAATCACTGTCAATGAATATACCAAGAAATTTAGTTACAGGCTTACTTAAAATCTTGTGTTCACCTAGTATTACTTGTTCTAAGTCCCACTTGAATGTTATCAAATTTGTTTTGAAAACATTAAGCTGTTTCAGGGATTCCATAATGGAAGAGTTTTTGCAGAAGAATTTCATGTTCCATGCAATCAAATGCCTTAGAAATACTGCCGCCGCCACTTTTTTATCATTTAGGGTCGTGTGGTTTCGAAAAAATGAAAGATGGCGTCATTCGTGTTTTTTTTGTCGGAAGCCAAACTGTACGGGAGCTAAAATTTTATGTTTTTTCAAGGAACCCACTATTCTTCTTTTAACTAGTTATCGCCGTTGACGTTATTCAACAATTCCTGAGCAATTTTGGAACGAACTTCACTGCCACACGCTTCATGCCAAAATTTTCGAAAAAAATGCATGGTATGAGGAAACCGTTATGCCTAGATCCTCAGTAACTTCTATAAGAGTCATTTGAAGATTCTCCATATCCATTTCCTCCACATTCATCGGTTGTTGATGTGCTGGAGTGTGATGTTACCTTCTGCGAAAAGCTTCAAACACTTGTAAACGTTTTTCTGACTCAGAGTACAATCACTGTATATCACTATAAAAAAACACGTCTGAAGAAGCTGTTGAATAGTGAAACATGTGTGACAGTTTTGTAAAATGTGAAGGGAAAATATCATATTGAAGTGTTATTTAAATTTGTTTCAATGGATTTACAGCAAATATCCGGCAGGTTCATCAAATAACTTATAAATTATGAATTAGTCCCATAATATAACCTTATATTTTTTTCAACTTTAGGGTTCACGTTGTATACCAGAGTATATAGGAAATGACGTTCACTGAGTGACAATTCCACCATTCTAAAATTCTCCTCATTCCTAATTGGCATCGCCCTTCAAAGCATAAATAGAAAGTATCTTCTGTATCAATTCTTTACGAGAGAAAAATTACACTAATTGGCACAAATCTCTGAGAACTTTCAAGAAATGAATTTAAAAAACAAACTCAACATTTTGAAGGGAATCATACTGCCTTCGTCATGTGACTCTGGTAGCTTACGCAAAATGCTAATTAAAGGTGTTGGCGAAGACAGAAAGAATTCAAGTTAATTCGAAATGAAACAAAAATACACACTACTCAATTGTTTTCCTCAGTTTCCTCTCAGTTATTCACAGGAGAGTTAATTTGCCGGCCAGTTGTTTTCGAATTGAAACTCAATATAGACTCCCACAGAGCTGAGACTATAGGTACCTATATTCAAGTGTTACACAATAATCATCAGAAAATAAAAGTGGGAACTTTGTAGGCATAACGTCGAAAATTGCTGGAAAAATTATATGGCAAATTCAATTATTTTAATACATTGCGTGATTAATCTTGAACAACTTCGAAAACGATTCATCTTCTAATTTTCCTAGAATGGAGAATAACAATTTGTGTCTTGTTGATGAGTTATATCCAAAAAAAATTTTTTTCGTTTATCGTCTGACTTGTTCATTTCTTTCAATTCTAGAAAACAATGCAGCCTCATTTCACCACACTGATTCCTGCACCCCTGTACTAGTCTCCGTTGTATAGTCCTATTTTGTTCAGGTATCCACTCTATAATTGGTGTCTCAAGATTTTTCTGTGCCGATCCCAGAAGCAGTTATTCTTCTCATTCCTTTTCCAAGTACTCTTTATGTTTCTCATAGACTCATTTCTCAATCTGGTTCCGTACCAAAGATTCTGGTACCTCGACAGCTAGTTCAAGGAGTTGAGATTGGTGTCTGGTACATTCGTCAGCTTTTTTTTATTGCCTATGATGCCTGAGTGTCTTAGCACCCAGTGTATAATGAATATCACTGAAGTTTTTCCCAACACTAAACCGTCATTTCAACACCTCGACACGTGTTTCGATCACCAAGTGATCAACTTCAAGAGGAAGATTGAACAGTTTGATCTTTCTCCAGTAATATTCATTACTACACCAAAGGTTCTAAAAAGTGCATAACATGTATCCAATATAGAGTCAATCTATTCCTGTTCGCCAGTTTTTTCAGTTCCTCACAGTATTTCCAGATTATTCCAATATCCCAAATCGTCGAAAGAATGTTGAAAGCATTTCAAGCTTCAGGTTGCCTAATGAGTTTAAATGTATATTTTATCCATTTCCACCTTAACTATTTTCCAAAATATTTTGGAGATGGTGAACAATTGCACCAATACATTGAAGAGATAAAAAAATATACCAAGAGAAAATGGAGCGTCTCAATAACGGCAGACCACTGTTGAACGCTTTTGAGATACCCTCCAGATGCTTACTACAAACGAAAATATAGCATCGACAATTTGACTGTGGTATTCACTTTTGATTTAACCTGTTAAACAACTACAAACGCACCAACTCAGTACAAAACACTTTCAGTTTTACTTTTACTTCAGGGAAAGTGTTGTATAACCTTTAAGTTTTTTTGTAATTGAAATATGAACTCCAGCTAAACAACCCGCACTATGAACCCAACTAACCTCTTTGCAAGTAGGAAGTGAACTCAGACAAAATAATATGTCAACTCTCTCTCAATATCAACTGGTTATAAAAAAAACAAACACTCACATAACGCCTCTTTGGTGGTTCATGGTCAACCATACGTGTGTCTTCAACACTTTCACTTTCAACTTCCCTGTACCCATTACCGGTTTACGATTTCACTACCGATTTTCCTTAAATGTCGCACCACCCGATCTCGTCTGGACGGGCTCCGGTGACCGACTTCTTTGTGTCTCCCAAAAAATCCCAAGCCTTCGCGTCAGCAACGCTAGCCACAAAAACCTCATCTCAGCGTTTTTAACCTTCCCAAGCGTATGATCATCAGCAGGATGTAATATATTCATTTGTTTAGTTTAGCCCAACTTGTACACGACCACAACGAGGCTCAAAGGTCCGATAGTCATAAAGTAGTTCAAACGCTTTTTTATCTGCTAGTTCGAAGGGCAATCACTTTCACAGAATACAGATTATTTTGAAATTGAATTATATAGGTACCGATTTCTAGAACGCGCCTGGGTCTATAATAATCACTTTCCAAATTGGGATATAAACCATGTGTTGGTTGAAAGAGGATTTCTGGAGTTGAAAATAAAAATACTCCATTGGTGTACTACGTGTGTGTGATAATGACGACAACTCAGACGGATGACAATAATATGTATTTATTGCATGGATTCTATTTGCACACGTTATGTAGATTTACTCGAATAATTTCAGCATGGTCCTACCACAGTACAACAATACAACCAGTAGGCTCTCTCACCACGTGATCCGGTGGAGTTGCCGGGGACCTTCAACTGCTCTTAGGATGAGATTCTCATCCAACGCGTTCAGTGCTGTAGTATCGAAGGATTCGACGGTCCACGGGCATCGGATTAGTTATAATAGAAGGTCAGAAACTGATATTGTGTTTAGTTTATTTGCTGTTGTTATTATTGTTTTCAGTTTTTGTAGTGGGTTATAAGTAACATACCACAAAATTTTCTATAATATCCTCAAATTTCGTTTTTATATGAGCACATGCTTATGGTACCTAAAAGAACAAAATTGGCTCCGCACTTCGTTTCGAGGTCATCGAGAATTTTGTGAATTTTTTAATAAAAGTAGTGGTCCTACGACTGGGTGAACAAAAAACATTCGCGAAATTAACCTCTGCGAGGTATCTTGCATAAATATTTGTCATATATAATTCAATATTCAGTGTGGTATTAGTTGGTAAAGTAGTTGTTTTCTGGCAGCTATTCACTGGAACCTACGTAAAGGTAATTGGGAGAGATGAATGTTTCGAAATTTCATTTCGAAATATCTATTTTTTGTACACGTTATTGATGGTTTTTATTCACTTTCCAGCAATAAAACTTATGCGAAATTAACCTCTGCGAGGTATCTTGCATAAATATTTGTCATATATAATTCAATATTCAGTGTTTATTTATTGTGAGAATATTTGGAAGAATCCAGTTCACAATCAAGAATAACGACCTTTTTATTTTTCTTACAGATTCATAATTTTTTTTTCATTTTGAAGATTTCACAAATTAAACTAGAGGAAAAGCTGGATTCTGTAGGGATAGAAAACAAGTGTTTCGATCATTTCAAAAAATATTGCTTCATTCCCACTGGATTGAATTTGAAATGTCGGTTTGAATTTTACTTCATCATTGCACATTTTAAGTTCCCAAATCAAAAGGTATATGCTCCAGTGGTGTGAGTAGGATCTGAACAAGAATTTTGCTGCCTTTTGTCATTCATTCGCAAAAGTGGAAGTGCATTCTTGTCATCAGTACGAAATTTCATTTCTGTGAAATCCTATTGAGAATACACTCTGAAATACAAACCACACCTTTTAGTAAACGACATCACCTATAGAATTCTTTGATGAATTTCCCCGTGTGACTTTGAAATGAGAGATTCATTTTTGATTTCATTATCAAAAAGAAATTCAATTCAATTTCTATACTATACAATAAAGTCTATTACTCTCACATTTAAAAAAAACGAATTGCTGTTAACTGATAGAATTCATTTGACACGGAAATAGTGAAACTAGATTTTCTTCTATCTATGAAAGGGCCCTACTTTTGAGATAAAAAGTACCTACAAATAAGTTCGAATTATATTTTGCGCTATTTTATATCAACATATTGGAACATAACTTCGTCAGTAAGAGAGTATCAAGTTTCGTGCATGTTGCCCATGTATTTGATTTTTTATCATCAGTACTTCATCGGCTAACATCCGAGGTAACTATTATTTTTTCAATCATAAATAATTGAACTCACTGTATGTGACGTTAAGATAATACGAAACTCAATCCTTGGACCTCTGATAAATAGAGGGCGCTCTTGGTATCGATTTGTATATTTTCCTGATTCATGTTCAAATTTCAGTTACGAAAAAAGTAAGCGTATAAATGAATGTGAATGTGCTATCGGATATTTGATATAAATAACAAAAACAGAATCGAGTATTTAAATAAAATTACCACTCGGTAATTTGACATCTAATATTTCACACAATGGGATTGGATCCGAAAGAATCACAGAATAGACTCCAAACTTCTGAATGTTATTATAATTCATGAAGCTTTCGAAATCGGTATTATAATACTAGACAAATAACAGAAACACAATGAAGGCAATAGGTATAAAACATACAATTACGTTAGTGAACCGGTATGCTTATCAAACTGGCAAATCAGCATTAAACAACCTCGTTGAGAAAATCTCCCAATCCCTTGACAACAAGGAGATTGCGGTTGCTGTATTTCTTGATATTGAAGGAGCATTTGACATTGCACTACCTAAATCTATAGAATTGTCTCTGGCTAGGAACGGTATAGAATCGAACATAACTGGCTGGATCTATGCCATGCTAGTAAACAGAACTGCAACTACGACTCTTCAAGGCGAGGCTATCAGGTTCAGAGTTACCAGGGGCTGCCCTCAAGGTGGGGTACTATCTCCCCTTCTGTGGTCGCTCTTGGTGGATAGTCTGCTTGATGCCCTCGACAGAAAAAAAGTTGATCTGCAAGCTTATGCAGATGATCTTGTCATCCTGGTAAGGTCCACGTCGGGAAGAATAGCTTGTAATATATTCCAAAGCGCGTTGGACATTGTTCACAGTTGCTGCCTGAGGGAGCAGATGTCTGTCAACCCCAGCAAAACTGTGTTAATCCCCTTCACCCAGAGAAGAAAATTGGACGATCTAACGCCACTTTCCCTCAATGGTGTGGTCATTCCATTTGGAACGGAGGATTTGTGGTAATACTTGGGGTTCAGGTCCCAAACAAATCCATTGGATTTATGCGATGATTATCAGACCAATGATCACTTACGGTGCAATTGCTTGGTGGCCGAAGGATTTACAGAAAACGGCGCAAGCGAAGCTCTCTGGATTACAGAGACAGGCTTGCCTGGTTTTCAGTGGTGCCATCAGTACCACACCGTCAGCGGCCATGGAGATCCTTCTAGATATATCTTCTCTCCACATTTTTCTGGAAAGAGAGGCTAGATGGACTGAATACAGACTTGTGCACATTTCTAATTGCACAAAGCAATGCAATGCAGAGTGCAACAGACTGTTGGTTGACATTGTAAGTCACAGCATTCTGGAAATGACCTCTGACTTTATGCATCCAACTGTCAACTACGAACTGCCTTATAAAGTACTATTCCCGAGTAGAGAGGACTGGATCCTCCGGGAGAAGGAAATATT